ATGTTCTGCAACGAAAATTTTTATGATACGCGCCATTATTAGGAAATTGTAGTGCTTGCGCAGAGCCTACTGGCATTGCGCGTCTCCAAAACTAAGTCTTAAAGTTTCATGGTGTTTCGGAAATTGCACTAAAATTTCACAATTAGGTACCCTTCCAGTGTCTTTTTCAGTGAATACTCAAATTTCACAGCATGTTTTCGAAGTGTTTCCTAAATTTCAACACTCTGGATTTGAATTCTTCACAATGTCTTTTTATTGGCATATATGTAAAACAGCATAGGTAACGGTAGGAAGGACTGCTAACTTCGACGAAAGGAATCAGTAGCGCAGCAACACCGAAGTGCTGTTACTCCAGCCTTAGTAAAAGTACCGTGATGAATTTATCGGCAGAAAATGGCTAACCTGTTTCCTTTTTTTCGTAGTAACTTTTGCGCATCGGTTAACCACAAAGTATTCTAAAGTAATGTCTCGTACTGATGGTTTTGCATTGAGGACTTCATCACGATCGCCAATTTCACATTTTTCAGATGCTTCATTTTCCTTATTTTCGGCTATTTCTGCTAGGTACCACTGTCTTGCGCTAGAACGTACTCTGCCACTTCTGGGACAAACTTTAAACCTTCGCTGTCGCTTCTCCTGAGCCAGTTTCCTTAAAAATTAGCTGTAAGTTACAGTTCGCATTAAACATTCGGAAAAACATTAATTTAAAAATCAGGAAGTTGATAAAAATTTTGTACCGTAGGAAAGAAACATTCAGGTGAGGAAAACGATGGGGATACGCAATCACAGCTAGAAACATAAAAAAGTAAGGCGTGGTACTGGTCAGCGGAAGTCATGGAGGATATGGGTTTCGACGATTTATATATTAAACTAAATAAAAGAAAGTTATTTTTTGTGGGGTTGCTTATCAATTAATCAAAGCTATACCATACGGCAGTGAACCTGCCGCTCCACCGACTCCTTTCCCTCTCCCCACCCGGTATTAATTTATCCGATCATGCAATTGAGTACTACGCCTTAGACATTTAACCTCATTCCTTTTCTTGTTCTGCTGCTAAAAAAGCTGCAGTTGCAACAAAAATATTAAACCGCTCATTAAACAAGCTTAATTCAGGCGAAATTTCAGCCGAGGTCGCGAAGTAGCTTTTAGATCCGGCAGTTCCAAAGCGAATCATTTGAAGAAAAATTCGATAGGCCTGTAAACATGGTCTCGCGAACTGCATTTACAATGTTTGGAAGAAAAGCCGATCGAAAAAGTTACTTGTCAGACTTATCACGGATCCTATTGTCCCAAACAGTAATTGCCGTCTCGTAAAGCACGTGAATCTTTGACGTCTCAGTGTTTGTGTCCGATGGCAGTGAAAAATCGCCTCGTACGGCACCCCTTTTTTTGGCTTTCTTCGGTGGTCGCGGTTTCCTGAAACCTGAATTATGTGGTAAGCGTTGTCTACCCTTCGATTTGCCAAACATGTGTTTCAGGCGGACGGCCAGTAAAGGAACTAACGCAGAGACTGCGGGCATTTACAACCTTGCATCCCTTTGAAAAGCCGGTTATCGACTTTCTTGCCAGCGTGTGGTTGCTGCTGACACGTACTAACGCTCTGAAAATTTAGAATGCTTCCCCTTCTCTGGCAGAGCTAAATGCGAACGGAGTTCTGACTTCACCTATACAGCTACTATTTCTACCGCCGATAGTGCGGTTCAATAGATTATCTTGTGAGCGAGAGTTTTGGAAGCCACTCCTTGAAGCCTACCTTTAGCGCTGAGAAAGTGTATTTTACCGATTGTCATCATGATGACTGACATTAGGCATGTATTAATTTTAAGCGGATACCTGATGAAATCATATTTGTTGGCTCGTCTCCCTACTTTGTGAATTTCTTCACCATTTTCGACACTAACAAATTCAGTGTCAAAGCATTTGTCACTCTCTTGCCATTTGCCCTCCTTGAATTTCCATCCAGTGTCT